TAGATTGCCCAATCTTCCTTCCAAGGAGTGGCTGGTGGGTTTGAACCACTAGCCTCCTGGCTAGTAGTCAAATGCCTTAGGCACTATACCACCAGAGTACAAATAGCCACTGAATTATTTAATCTGTAACTATAAATAGAGTTCTTGAATAAGGCACTCAATTTCTTCTCTTGTGTATCACAAACTGGATGATTATAGACACACTGATATGACTAAAATTTCTCTTGCTTTTCTTTTTATTTGTTTGATTAAACCAGTTGATGTCAAGCCGATACTGACTAATTAGGTTGCCCAATTACCATCCCACCATAATCCCTAAAATTGCCATGTAGGCAAAGATCCACCAGGTTTATGCAAATTCTCAATTAAAATCAAGGAAATGAGAAGCAAATTTATATGGAATGGCAAGAGAGGCTAGCAAAAGGAATGTTGAAAGAAGAAAAAAGTAGGAAGACTCCACTTCCTGACTTTAAAACATATTATTCAGTTAAAGCAATCAAAACAGCCTATACTCTTATAAAAATAGACACTAGACAAATGGGATAGAATTAAGAATCCAGAAATAAACCCATACAGGTATAGTTAACTGATACTGACAAGTGTGCTAAGCCCAATTTGATGGGGAAAGAAGGGTCTCTTCAGTAAATCCAAACCAAAACCAAACTCACTGCTATTGAGTCATTTCTGACTCATAGCAACTTCCACTGGTTTTCTGAGGCTGTAAATCTTTACAGAAGTAGATTGCCCTGTCTTCCTTCCATGGAGTAGCTGGTGGGTTTGAACTGTTGACCTTCCACTTTACAGTCAAGTGCCTTATCTTATTGGGAAAATTGGATTTCTATATGCAGAAAAATGAAACAGGATCCACACCTCACACAATATACAAAAACAAATTCAAAATACATTGAAGAGCTAAATGTGAAAACTAAAACAAAATTCTTAGAAGGAAATGCAGGGACAATGCTATCAGGCTCAGCTTTGGACTATTGGATCACTTATTATAGTAACAAAAGCACAAACAGCAAAAGACTAACTAGATAAATGGGACTTCATGAAAATGGAAAAATTTTAGTTTGTCAAAAGATTTTACCAGAGGCAGAGACATGATGACATGCTTGTGATACATTCTGCCCAATCCCTCTACAACAGAGACCTTGGAAAACTAAGTGAAACAAATGCAGATAATGATCGTGGAACTCTGAGCATTAAATGAGAAGATAAAGAATTAGATAGAGCACTTATTAAAAAGGGAGACAGAGTGATGACAGTGACTGGGGAGAGAGAAGAAGCTGGGCCCCAACAAAGCATGGCCATTTTGAGATACACAAAGAATCATACACAGGCAGGGAGAAACCAACTTCGTGGAATATATACTAAGAAAGAGACACAGCACGGACAGATTTGGAGGAAATCAAGGTGAGCAAAATACACGTGGGATCCAGAACAGAAAAGTTCAGGGAAATGGGCAAGATTTCCAGTGACACAGGCAACCACAGAGCAAGGAGGAAGCCAGTGAAGGGGGATGAAGCAGCTCACTAATAGTGAACCCTAGTCCTTTGGGTTGAGGGCTCACACTAAGGGGAAGGCTTATGGGATGGTGGTTGGGAGACACTGGACTCTAGTTGGCACCCCACCTGATACACAATCTGGATAGGAGCTACTTAATCAGCTCCAATCACCCAGAAATTCAACAGTCCCACACCAGTGAATTGTGACCAGAGAAGTGTTTTCTCTACCTCCAAAACCACCAATCTGGTGGCTAGGGATGACCCCTGGCTGCCCCCTCTTTGCCTGATTCCTTGGACCATCTCCTCACACCAGCAGCCCAGCCACTGATTGCACCACACCTCAAGCAGACAGAGCTAGTGACTGTGGCTCTTCCTCCCTGCACTTGTGTCATTGACAGGGTTTTCTTCCACTGAGCACAAGATGTACATCACCACAGCCTCCCTGTTGGAGTTGCTAGCAAGTGCCAGGCTCCCACCCCTCCATGGGCACAAGCTCTCAGGAATCATGTCACAGCTCCCTGCTATCATTGCTGCTAGCTGACCATAATTGCACCAATCTCTCCTAATTTTTATTTTTCTCCCTTTTCCATTTCTTTTATCCACTTTTCTTCTTTTTATTTTATTTCCTCCTCCTCCTCCTTCTTCTTTTTTTATTTTTACACATTTTTCTTCTCACCCACCTCAATTTTTTAGCTTTTCTTCTTCTTTTGGTCCTGTCCTATCCAATGGGATGTGAACATTAATTTCTTCTAGTCTTCTATACCTACAACACCTACCACTTCACTCAATGAGCAAGTGCCACCACCCACTTCTGCATCACTGGATCAATGACACAGTGGACATCACCTGCTCTTCCTACCAGCAGCTCCTCTTCATTACCAACAAACAAAAGACCTGTGCCAACACACCTGGAGAGGAAGGGAGTGTCCTAGTGCCGCCAAACTAGCCACCAAAGAAGCAAGCCTGCCCCACCTATCCAAAACAAAGCAATATAAAAAATTAGCATGAAACAAACCAATATCTAATTAACAAATAAAAGCAATTCCAAAGCATCTCAGAGACAACTGCCAACTTCAATTCAAACAAACAAACAGGACAAAATAGCATCAGCAAGTGACCAAAATAAGGAACAGGAAACCTCCTCAAGGAAGAACAATTAATAGAACTACTTAATAAGATTATATATAGATATATCCTTCCAAGAGCTCAAGGAAACCACAAAGAAAATCAAGGAAAAAGCAGACAATACCCTAGGAGAATTCAGGAAAACAATCCAAGAGAAAATGACAAAATAAATAGACAGCTATAAATCATACAAAAAACAAAAACCAAACCCACTGCCACAGAGATGGTTCTGACTCAGTGTGAGCCCCATTAACTTTCCAACACTATAAACCTTTGTGGAAGTGCATTGTCTTGTCTTCCTCCTATGTAGTGGGATTTGAACTGCCGACCTTCTGGTTAGTAGCCAAATGTGCTTCCTACTATGCCACCAGACTACCTTCATATAAAAATAGCAAGGAAAAATCCAGAACATTAACATTAAAATTACATACATACCTAACACGTTGTTGTTGTTGTTGTTATTTACCGACAAGTTGGACCCGACTCATAGCGACCCCTCCTTGGGTTTCCGAGGCAGTATCACTACGGAAGTAGATTGTCCAATCTTCCTTCTGAGGAGTAGCTGGTGGATTTGAACCGCCAGCCTTCTGGTTAGCAGTTAAGTGCCTTAGGCACTACGCTACCAGAGCTCCTACATAACACATTAGAGGGACAAAAGAATAGGATTAAACTTGCTGAAGAATGCATAACCCAGCTAGAAGACAAATCCTTTGACACCAGCATATATGAGAAAAAATCAGAAAAGAGTATGAAGAGAAATAAAGAAAACACCTTGGAGACCTAAGGAGGGGTCACTACTCAGAGATGACTCGATGGCACATAACAACATCAACAACAAGAAGCATTATATGGGATGATATCAAAAGACATAACATACTCCTGATTAGAATTCCAGAACAAGAGGAGACAAAAAAACCACAGAGAAAAATGTTGAAGACTTGCTAGCAGAAAACTTCTCCAACATCATGAAATTATACTTTCCAAAACCAAGACAAAGAAAGAATCTTGAGAGTAGTTTGGGAAAATCAAAATGTTACCTACAAAGGGCAACCAATAAGACTAAGCTCAGATTTCTCAGCAGAAACTGTTTAGGCATGGGGTGACATTTATAAAAACTTGAAAGGAAAAAATTGCCAAATAAGAATTATATATCCAGGAAAACTGTCCCTCAAATACAATGGTGCAATTAAGACATTTGCAGATAAACAGAAATTAAGGGAGTCTGTAAACACTAGACCAACCTTGGGACTTCCGTCAAGATGGCAAAATAGAAAGATACACAGATCCTCTGTAACAAGAAACAATAAGCCAATTGAAACAGATACAGAATATAATTCAGGAATCCTGAGCTTTTAAAGAAAGGATAAAGAAGTGGATTAAATACCAACTAGTAGAAAAATTTGAATGAAAACAGTGAATAAGGAGACAAACAAAGCTGAGACTGTTGGCTGTCCTGATAGCATAGCCAATTCAAATATTTACAAGTGGCTTTCCAATCTGAGCAACAAC